GTCCCCTGGGCCCCCGCTTCTCTTTCTCTACACTTTGTCTCTGTGTCTTATTTCTTTTCTCAAGTCTCTCGTTCCACCTAACGAGAAACACCCACAGGTGTGGAGGGGCAGGCCACCCCTTCAGGTTGACACCAGCCTCGACTCTTCCTCCCAAAAATGGGGATGAAAGGGTAAGATGCATGCAGGGGCACCACTGCCCGTCCCTGTCCTGGCTGCGGCCCCCGTCCTGGCTGTGGCCACCATGAGCGACTCACTCCATCATGGCTTCTGTTCCTCTCCGACGTGTTCTGGATCCAGGACCCCACCAGATCTCATGTCCAACTGTAATCCCCAGCATTGGAGGGGGGGCCTGGTGTGGGTGGAGTTCTCATGCATGGGTTGGCACCATCCCCTCCGTGCTGTTCTTCTGACAGGGAGTGAGTGGGTTCTCGTGAGATCTGGTCATTTTAAGAGTGTGTAGCAACTGGGTGCAGTAGCTCATGCCTGTAATCCCAGCACTTTGGGAGGCTGAGGCAGGCGGATTACAAGGTCAGGAGTTCAACACCAGCTTGACCAATCTGATGAAACCCTGTCTCTACTAAAAACACAAAAATTAGCCTGGTGTGGTGGCGTGCACCTGTAGTCCCAGCTACTTGGGAGGCTGGGGCAGGAGTATCGCTTGAACCCGGGAGGCAGAGGTTGCAGTGAGCCGAGATCGCACCACTGCACTCCAGCCTGCGCGACAGAGTGAGACTCTGTCTCAAAAAGAAATAAATAAATAAAAATAAAAAAGTGAGTAGCGCCTCGCCCCTCTCTCTCTTGCTCTTGTTCTTGCCGTGGAAGATGCCTGACGAACACAAACTTGTTCTCACTTAGACAAAGTGTGCCCAGAGTATGAGGGAAATAGATGTTTTCAATAAAATACGAGCCCTCCGTGAATATCTGATCTCTCAGTGGAGTAAGTCACCAGGACAAACTCAGAAACAAACTAAAGCAGATCAGGGCGGCGCTTTCACCACGTGAACGGTTTACCACCGGACACATAAAACAAAGTTACACACCAAACGACGCACCGGGAGAAGGATTTTTACCTTACGTGGGAAGGGACTGACATGTTTCACATGTCAAGGACTCAAAATAAATGAGACACAAGCAGTTGTAGGCAAAAAAGCAGGTAACTCTCGAAGAGTGTTACAACCAACCAACCAACAAACAAAAAAAGTTCAACTCCGTAAGTGAGCAAAGCAAATAAATAAGACAGTCGTTTTTAAAAAAGTATTCACCACTCTGTTTCTTTATTTTGTTTATAAAGGCAAACCCCTTGTAGGGCAGAACTAAGGATGGTGTACCTGCAACCACAGAGGGCGGGAACCCAAATCAGCACCCTCTTCCTGGAGGACCATTTGAAGAAACAGTGCAAGATGGAAGTTATCAATAACATTATGATAAAACTCTTTGTTCATTGGAGCCTCCAATCCAGAAAAACGCTAGATTTCAAAAGAAAAAAATACCTTCAAATATGATGGTTACAATTTTTAAGTGTAAAAAGTAGAAAAATGAAAAGAGGATTATAAACTCAAAGTCAGCAGAGGAAAAGTTTGAGCAAAAATGAACCAACAAAAGACAAAACCCAAAAAGAACCAGCCCGGGCAACATAGCGAGACCCTGTCTCTAGGAAGAATTTAAAAAAAAAAAAAAAACAAAAAAAAAACACCAGCCAGGTGTGCTAGCGTGCACCTGTAGTCCCAGGTACTCAGGAGGCTGAGGCGGACGGATCACTTGAGCCCAGGAGGTCGAGGCTGCAGTGAGCCAGGATTGCACCACAGCACTCCAGCCTGGACAACAGAGTGAGAATCTGTCTCAAACAAACAAACAAAAACGAAAAAAAGAAACCCTAATGAGTAGAAAACTTGGTGAAGTGACGAGAGTAAGTCCATGTGGTCGGCTGACTCTCAGCCCCTCAAAGATGTCCCCATCCTAACTGCTGGAGCCTGCGACTGTGTTTTGTTACCTGAAACGTTGCAGGGGTGATGAGGTGACAGGCCCTGAGATGGGAGATGATTCTGGACAATCTGGGCCAGCTAGCATAATGGCAAGAGTCCCCATAAGAGGGAGGGTCAGAGGAGGAGCTGTGACAACAGAAGTGGGGGTCGGGGCGACGTCACAGCTGGAAGAGGCCACAGGCCAGGAAAGCTAGAGAAGGCAGGGACACAGATCCTCCTGGAGAGTCTCCAGAAGGAACCAGGCTTGCTGCTGACCCACTGACCCCTTGACTTCTGATCTTCAGAACCATTAGATAAAAGACTGGTGTTGCTTGTGTTTTGTGTCCATGGTAATTCACCAGAGCAGCAAAAGGAAACTAAGAGAGTCCACAGGACCAATTAACATCATCCATGTGAACAGAGCCTAAAATTCCCATCCGTGTGCTGCTTAGAAGAGGCCCCACTCCATAAATGTCATGGTGAGGGTTGGATGCGAGTGGCGGGAGAATATGCGCCAGACAGATGCCAAGAAAGAAGCGAGCCAAGATGCCACCTCCATGCCGGATGAGGCGGGGTTGAAGGAGACGTAAAGGACTTGATGCAAGGCCCAGTGAAAGGCGACAGTGATGCAGAGTGTGGCAGACACCAACAGAGCATGTGCAGAGGCCTCCACAGGGGACAGCTAGGCAGAGTGTGGCACAGACACCAGCACAGTGAGTGCAGAGGCCTCCACAGGGGACAGCTATGCAGTGTGCGGCACAGACCCTAGCACAGTGAGTGCAGAGGCCTCCACAGGGGACCAGCTATACAGAGTGCGGCACAGACACCAGCACAGCGCACACAGAGCCCTCCACAGGGGACAGCTGTGCAGACTGCGGCACAGACACCAGCAGAGCGCGTGCAGAGGCCTCCATAGGGGACGGTTATGCAGGGCACAGTACAGACACCAGCACAGCATCCTCCATAGGGGACAGCTATGTAGAGTGCACCACAGACACCAGTACAGTGCACACAGAAGCCTTCATAGGAGCAGCTATGTAGAGCACAGCACAGACACCAGCACAGCATCCTCCATAGGGACCGGCTATGCAGGGCACAGCACAGACAACAGCATGGGGCGTGCAGAGGCCTCCACAGGGTACCAGCTATGCAGAGTGCAGCACAGACACCAGTACAGCATATTCCATAGGGAACCAGCTATGCAAAGCAGGGCTCAGACACTAGCACAGCATGTGCAGAGGCCTCCATAGGGACTGGCTATGCAGGGCACAGCACAGACACCAGCATGG